CCCCCCCACCGTCTTAGCGGGTTCCTTGTTGGAGGGGTAGGGCGGGCTTCCCTTCCTCATCATCTTCCCGCACAGGAAAGCGTGTCTGGGAGGAGGGGCCAGGCCTGACCGCGGTCCAGAGATGGGGTGGGCACTAAGGCAGCAGCAAACCTGGTCTTCGGCCTAAGGCCTCTGCTCGCCCCAGGTGAAGGGCCATGGCGGGCTGGATTCAGGCCCAGCAGCTGCAAGGAGATGCACTGCGCCAGATGCAGGTGCTGTACGGGCAGCACTTCCCCATCGAGGTCCGACACTACCTGGCACAGTGGATCGAGAGTCAGCCCTGGTAGGTGCCCCTGCCCTGCGCCTCGATCTCCAGATCCCGGCCATCCAGGCCCCTTGTCCCCTAGATTTCTTTGTGGCTTCCTGTGACTCTGGTCCTGTCTGTCTTTCTCCGTGTACAAGGGGTGGTGTCCCTGGGAAAGGGGAACAGGGAAATAGGAGCCTGGGAGGGAAGAGAAGATGTTTCTAGACTCCAATGCCTGCGGAGCTGCCAGGAACAAGTCTACACCACTTTTGGTGGCTGACCTTCTTGCCTGTGGAAGTGCTATAGTAGATTTCTCTCCCCCACCCTGTCCTGAGGGATGCCATTGACCTGGACAACCCCCAGGACCGTGCCCAGGCCACCCAGCTCCTGGAGGGCCTGGTGCAAGAGCTGCAGAAGAAGGCGGAGCACCAGGTGGGGGAAGATGGGTTTTTACTGAAGATCAAGCTGGGCCACTACGCCAAGCAGCTCCAGGTGGGTGTGAACTCTGGGTCAGCTAAGGGAGGCAGCACCCGCCTTCTCTTTCCAGCATCAGAACCCTTGGGTTTTTTCCTGGCCTGGCCACTGACTCACTGTGTGACCATGAACTTAGCGGCAACTTCTCTTAAACTTCCCCCACCCCCTCTTTGTAAATCAGACCTGTTAGATTGTTTTAGCAAACTACAGAGCAAGGGGACGTCTGCTCTCAGCAGAAAGGGGATGGATGAATTGACACGGACAGAGCAAGCAGGAGGAGGTAGACTGAGTCAGGATGCCTTTGTAGAGACGAGGGAATGAAGAGGCAGCCAGGTGTCCTCTTGAGGCACCCACAACGTTGAGAGTGGTGCCAAAGCAGATGGGAAAGGAAGCAGAGTTGCCCTGGAAGCAAGAGCTAGATAAAAGGCCTTGGAATTGGAATTTAGAAATAAGATGTGGCTTCTTCTTTATGGGAGGTGGGAAGAGTGTGGAGAAAGGGAGGGAGTTTTTGTGGAAACAGGAAAAGGCCGTAGGTGATCATCATAATTTGGAACTTACTGGGACTCACTTGGGTTTTTGTTTTAAAGAATGATTTTATTTATCTTTATTTATTTATCTACTTATTTTTTAATCTGATGAGAGAGAGAGGGAAAGTGGGAAAGCAAGCTGCCAGGTCCAAGACTTGAACTGTGATGACCATGTGAGAGTCCAGCGCCCCTAACCAGCATGCCACCTACCGGCCCAAGGACTCACTTGGATTTTTTAGAGACTTCTTAAATTTGAACATCAAGGTGCCCAGAAAAGAAAAGTCCATCCCAGAAGAGGGAAGAGATGGGGAAAACCTGAGGGGAAGGACAAAATAGGAAGCCAGGGACGAGTGTATAGCAGACAGTACCTTGGCCTTGAGTCTTGAGTCTTCTGCTCACTCGCTTGTTTGCCTCTGGACAAGTACTTAACCTCTCTGAGTATCAGTGTACTCATCTGTGAAATGGGGATAATTGTTTCTGCTTCTGTCATAGTTTCCATGCTATGAGAGAGGAAATGGTAGATTGGAAGCGCTTTATAATCTGTGGGGTTCTACTTCACTGCAAAACAAATATGAAGATTTGGGAGAGGAAGTCAGGGAAAGAAAAGATCGAGACACCTCGTCGCTTTTTGGGGAAAGTTCCTGAGGCATCCTGGGAAAAACAGACAGGGACTGAAGGAGAGGAAGGGGTGGGTATGGCTCTGGGATGGGCATGGCTGGGGCAAGAGAGTAGCCACTGGGGCACTGCTGTTGGATTCTTCCAGAACACATATGACCGCTGCCCCATGGAACTGGTCCGCTGTATCCGGCACATTCTGTACAACGAACAGAGGCTGGTACGAGAAGCCAACAACGTGAGTGTCCCATGGGATGGGGAGGGAGCCGGGAAGTCCTTTCGCATGCCTTTCTCTCCAGACCCAACTGTGTTTATATAAACACCAGCATGAGGGCACAACAAAGAAACAAGAGACGTGGGCAAGCGTGAGAGGCAGTATTACTTACTGGTGTGGAGAGACCCCCTAGGTCTAACTGTGTGACTTGAACAAGCGACTTAACCTTTCTGAACTTTTGTTTCTTCTATTGTAAAACAGGGACAGTACCTTATAGGGTTATTGTGAGTATCACCGTGGGACAAGTCAGACAGACCAATGGAAAAAAAAATGAAAGCCCTAAAGACAGATAGACACATACATACACACACATCTGGAAACTCAGTCTGTTTCAGAGATGGCATTACAAATCACTAGGGAAAAGGTTAGATATTCAATAAGTGGGGCTGAGGCCAACATTAAAAATGGATTCTGGGGGACCAGCGGATGACGTAGCAGTTATGTCACTGGACTCCCATGTAGTTGACTGCAGTTTGTGTCCTGGACCTGGCAGCTTGGAACTCACACTGGTCGCATTGTGTGCATGCCCAAGATCCCAAGAAGAGAGTGAAGGAGAAGGGATTGTGGCATGGCCATCACCCATGAGGAGGGATTTCTCATATTCTGTCTCTCTGTCCCTCTCTGTCTCTCCAGTGAGCATATGCACCCTATATCAAAAATATCTCTTAAAAAATAAAAAAGGATTCTGGTAGTTTCTGTGAACAGAAACAGAGCCATGGTCTGTCATAATGAATAAGCTTGGCCAGTCGATGGTGTGGTGGTTGAAGTGTTTGGATCCCACATGGCCAACTGCACAATTTGAGTCACAGACCCAGTGACTTGGAAAGACATGCTGCATGTGTGTGAGTGCACACCCCAAATCCCAAGAAGAGAATGTAGGAGAAGGGATTGCAGTATGGTCATCCTTCTTGGGGGGCAATTTTGCTCGCTCTCTCTCTCACTCTCTCTTGCTGTTTCTCTGCAGGAAGTGCATGTACCCTATAATAAACTAAAATAAAATAGCAATATTAAAAAAAAAAAATCACAGGTACATCAGAGAAGTAAGGTCCAGGCAGGGGGACTTGTTTCTCAAGTTCTGAAATCATAAGGCATCGAACCTCTGCCTGGACAGTGGTACAAAGTCTACATTATCTGCAGTAGAGCAAAATGAATTTATAATCTTGCTCACAGCACTATTATATTTTTAAGAATTATTTTATTTAACTTCATTTGTTTGTTTGTTTGTTTATTTCAATTTGACCAGAGAGGGACAGAGAGAAAGTGAGAAAGCAAGCCACCAGGTCTGGGACTTGAACTGTGGTCAGCCATGTGGGAGTCCAGCACCCCTAACCACCACACCATCTGCTAGCCCCTCACAGCATGATTCTAAAGATAAAGGTAGTTGTTATTTATTTATGGTTGTGGACACTGATTTCAGGGAATTTTACAGTTCATTTGGTAAACAAATCTTGAGGTCCTACTGTGTGTCTAATGGAGACTGGGTCTAGAAAAACAGATCAAGTCCTGCTCTCTGCCCAGAAGGAACTCCAGAAAGATAGATTCTCTAGAGGTGAGCTAAGTTTAAGGGACATATATAGAAAAAGTGCCCAATTCAGATTAGAATGGGCTGGCAGTAGGGAAAAAGGGAGGGATGAATATTCTAGCCAAAGTAGCAACATAGGAGAGGGCAGGAAGGCATGGGTTGCTTAATGCATTTGAAGGCTTACAAATTGGCAGTGTAACTAGAGAGCAAGGAGCCAGCAGCAGGAGAGTTACAATAGGTAATACAGGAGGCAGGAAGGAGCTGGTCACGAAAGGTCTTCCAACACAACCCCTGTACGCCCTGGTTTATGGCAGTCACAGACCAGTAAAATGTCCACCCGTAAACATACCAGTGAATCTGGCCCTGTGTAGGAAATACATGTCTAGGACACTGGGATGTCCTGGTTTGGGAATCTTCCCTCCTCCTGGCCGTCAGTCTGTTCTTCAACACCTCTGATGTTCTAGCCTTGGAGATTCTGTGGTGCTCAAGATGGACAAAGTTCTAGAACTTGGGGACCACACCTTCTGGCATAGGGAGGCAGTCCAGAAACAAGTAAACACATACAAGAACAAGACACTTTCAGATAAAGGCAGTGCTACTGTGAATTGGCCCATCTGAGGGCACTTGGGCACATGCCTCAGGAGGACTTGGTGCCAGAATGTTCCAGACTGATGGAACAATAAGCACCAAGGCCCTGAGGCAGGGTTTGGTTGCATGTTCAAGGAACAGAAGCAAAAAATACACATAGCTATGTGCTTGGCCAGCTACAGAGTGGGGGTGGAGGTAGGCAGAGGCTATCGGCTAGGCCAATGGAGGCCAGAGGGAGTTTGCATTTTGTTTCGAGAACAATTCACTGGAGACATGGTCCCCTCTCAGCCAGGCGTTGAAGGAATGGCTGGGTCCTTCCTTGGGTCCTTCTTGATACCTCCCTATTACTTCCTTTTGGGGGTCTGAGAGGTTCAGCCTCTTCCTCTCTAAGTCACATGATCTTTTTTTCTTTTTTTTTTTTAGAGAGATTTTTGCTATAGGGTGTGTGTGTGTGCTCACCAGAGAGACAGAGAAAAACAGAAAGACAGAAGGGGAGAAATCACTCCCCAGGGGGGATGGCCACACCGCAATCCCTTCTCCTCCATTCTCCTCTGGGAATTTCAGGCACGCACGCACACACACACCTGGCTTGAGTTTTAAGTTGCCTTGTCTGGAACTCAAACTGAGGTTGACTATGTGTGAGTCCAGTGATGTAGCCATTATGCCATCTGCTGGTCTCACAAGATCTTTTTTTAAAAACCATTGTTGGGGCCAGCAGGTGGCATGGTAGTTAAGGCATTGAACTTCCACATGGCTGAATGCAGTTCAAGTCCTGGACCTGGTGGCTTGCCACTTGCCCCTTTCTTTCTCTGTGCCTTTCTCTGGTGAGCATGTGTGCCCTGCGGTAAATGTAAAAAAATAACAATAGTGATAAGTAAAATTAAATAATTATTTTAAAAAGCAAAGTCATTACTTCTTTTTACAAATGTATTTACAATATTGTGTGTGTGTGTGTGTGTGTGTGTGTGTGTGTGTGTGCGTGTGTGTGTTTGCATACAAAGAGAGAGTGAGAGAGAGAGAGAGAACACCTCTTAGTGAAGGTTAGTCCTGCTGTAGTGCTGTCAGAATCATGGGCCTGTGTACATGCACACACCCAGTGTATAAGCCTCCAGGGCCAGGACTCAAACCCATGTTGTCTATGGAGTTTGGCTTCCACTGCACAGCACTTAATTGCTACACTACAGTGCTGGCCTTAGATCGGCTCTTTTTGGAATATTCTGGTATTCCAGGCCACATCTAAAATATGGGATTGGGACCAGCAGTTAGAGTAATGGCTATGTCGCTGGACTCCCATGTAGTTGACTGCAGTTCGAGTCCCGGACCCAGTGGCTTAAACTCATGCCGGGTGTGTGTGTGCGTGCGTGCGTGCCCAAGCGTCGCTGGGTCCCTCTCTCTCTGGTGAGTTCATGCACCCTATAGCAAAACCCTCTCCAAAAAAAAATATATATATTGGGTTGTTGGGAAAGTCATGATGAATATTTGCACAGAGAAATGCGTCATGACTTTCCTGACGACCTAATAGAAACTTCTACTATGGGGGCCAGATGGTGGCACAGTGAGAATGCAACTGGGCCACAGGGGAGGTTCCCAGGTCCTCTTCCCTGAACATGCCGGGTATGCATGTGTATGCCTATAATCTAGCTGGGGGTAGATTGTGGTGTGAGGACCATGTAGGGCATGTCAGTCTCTTTCATGGAAGAAATAAAAATTTTAAAGAATCATTTCATTTAATTTAATTTATTATTATTATTATTTCACATGACCAGAGAGACAGAGAGAGAGAGAGAAAAGTGAAAAAACAAGTCACCATGTCTGGGACTTGAATTGTGTTCAGCCACCTGAGAGTCCAGCACCTTAATCACCATACCACCTGCCAGCCCCATGAAGAAATAAATTTAAAAAAAAATCTTAAAGAATTCTTAATTTAATTTAATTTTTATATTATTTTTATTTTTAGTTTGTTATAGGGCACATGCACCCATGAGAGAGAGAAAGAGAAAGCGTGAGCAAGCTGCCAGGTGTGGGATTTGAACCACAGTCGGCCATGTGGTAGTCCAGCACCTCAACCACCATGCAACCTGCTGGCCCCAGTAAAAAATAAATAATAAATAAATTAAAAACAGGGGCCAGCAGTTGGTGAGTTGCTCAAGGCACTGGCTCCCACATGGCTGACCATGGTTTGAGTCCTGGATTCAGTGGCTTGCCTTCTCATTTTCCCTCTGTGTGTGTGTGTGTCTCTCTCTGGTCAAATTATAATAAATGAATGAACAAATAAAATTTTTTAAAAAGGTGGTATTATTGAATAGTTATTAAATAATTATACTCCCATAAACAGTGGGCGAAAATTCCTAACTCCCCATATTGTCATCAACACTAAGCATTGTATACTTTATAAATAGTTCTTGGCAGTATGATGGGTGTGAACTTGTGTATAATTTTGTTTTAATTTGCATTTACCTAATTATTAGTGATTTTGAGTATACTCACTTATTGTCGATTCTGATTTCTTATTCTAAGAATTACTTGGTTATATATTTAGTCATTTTTCTGTCTGAGGTTGTTTTATATTGACAACTTGGAATTCTTTAATCTGTTCACTAATATGTTTTCTGGCATATATTTCTCATATTTGTTTATGGTATATTTTATCATTCAGAATTTATCAATACTGGGAACCAGCAGTTAGTGTAATGGCTATGTCGCTGGACTCCCACGTAGTCGACCACGGTTCACGTCCCGGACCCGGTGGCTTAAAACTCACGCCAGGCGCGTGTGCGTGCGTGCCCAAGATCCTGAGAGGAGAATGGAGGAGAAGGGATTGTGGCGTGGCCATCCCCCCTAGGGGGTGATTTCTCGCTTTCTATCTAGTGAATCTGGCCCTGTGTAGGAAATACATGTCTAGGACACTGGGATGTCCTGGTTTGGGAATCTTCCCTCCTCCTGGCCGTCAGTCTGTTCTTCAACACCTCTGATGTTCTAGCCTTGGAGATTCTGTGGTGCTCAAGATGGACAAAGTTCTAGAACTTGGGGACCACACCTTCTGGCATAGGGAGGCAGTCCAGAAACAAGTAAACACATACAAGAACAAGACACTTTCAGATAAAGGCAGTGCTACTGTGAATTGGCCCATCTGAGGGCACTTGGGCACATGCCTCAGGAGGACTTGGTGCCAGAATGTTCCAGACTGATGGAACAATAAGCACCAAGGCCCTGAGGCAGGGTTTGGTTGCATGTTCAAGGAACAGAAGCAAAAAATACACATAGCTATGTGCTTGGCCAGCTACAGAGTGGGGGTGGAGGTAGGCAGAGGCTATCGGCTAGGCCAATGGAGGCCAGAGGGAGTTTGCATTTTGTTTCGAGAACAATTCACTGGAGACATGGTCCCCTCTCAGCCAGGCGTTGAAGGAATGGCTGGGTCCTTCCTTGGGTCCTTCTTGATACCTCCCTATTACTTCCTTTTGGGGGTCTGAGAGGTTCAGCCTCTTCCTCTCTAAGTCACATGATCTTTTTTTCTTTTTTTTTTTTAGAGAGATTTTTGCTATAGGGTGTGTGTGTGTGCTCACCAGAGAGACAGAGAAAAACAGAAAGACAGAAGGGGAGAAATCACTCCCCAGGGGGGATGGCCACACCGCAATCCCTTCTCCTCCATTCTCCTCTGGGAATTTCAGGCACGCACGCACACACACACCTGGCTTGAGTTTTAAGTTGCCTTGTCTGGAACTCAAACTGAGGTTGACTATGTGTGAGTCCAGTGATGTAGCCATTATGCCATCTGCTGGTCTCACAAGATCTTTTTTTAAAAACCATTGTTGGGGCCAGCAGGTGGCATGGTAGTTAAGGCATTGAACTTCCACATGGCTGAATGCAGTTCAAGTCCTGGACCTGGTGGCTTGCCACTTGCCCCTTTCTTTCTCTGTGCCTTTCTCTGGTGAGCATGTGTGCCCTGCGGTAAATGTAAAAAAATAACAATAGTGATAAGTAAAATTAAATAATTATTTTAAAAAGCAAAGTCATTACTTCTTTTTACAAATGTATTTACAATATTGTGTGTGTGTGTGTGTGTGTGTGTGTGTGTGTGTGTGCGTGTGTGTGTTTGCATACAAAGAGAGAGTGAGAGAGAGAGAGAGAACACCTCTTAGTGAAGGTTAGTCCTGCTGTAGTGCTGTCAGAATCATGGGCCTGTGTACATGCACACACCCAGTGTATAAGCCTCCAGGGCCAGGACTCAAACCCATGTTGTCTATGGAGTTTGGCTTCCACTGCACAGCACTTAATTGCTACACTACAGTGCTGGCCTTAGATCGGCTCTTTTTGGAATATTCTGGTATTCCAGGCCACATCTAAAATATGGGATTGGGACCAGCAGTTAGAGTAATGGCTATGTCGCTGGACTCCCATGTAGTTGACTGCAGTTCGAGTCCCGGACCCAGTGGCTTAAACTCATGCCGGGTGTGTGTGTGCGTGCGTGCGTGCCCAAGATCCCGAGAGGAGAATGGAGGAGAAGGGACTGTGGCGTGGCCATCCCCTCCTGGGGATGATTTCTCACTTTCTGTCTCTCTGTCTCTCTCTGTCTTTCTGGTGAGCACACGTTCTTATGGAAAAAAATATATATATTGGGTTGTTGGGAAAGTCATGATGAATATTTGCACAGAGAAATGCGTCATGACTTTCCTGACGACCTAATAGAAACTTCTACTATGGGGGCCAGATGGTGGCACAGTGAGAATGCAACTGGGCCACAGGGGAGGTTCCCAGGTCCTCTTCCCTGAACATGCCGGGTATGCATGTGTATGCCTATAATCTAGCTGGGGGTAGATTGTGGTGTGAGGACCATGTAGGGCATGTCAGTCTCTTTCATGGAAGAAATAAAAATTTTAAAGAATCATTTCATTTAATTTAATTTATTATTATTATTATTTCACATGACCAGAGAGACAGAGAGAGAGAGAGAAAAGTGAAAAAACAAGTCACCATGTCTGGGACTTGAATTGTGTTCAGCCACCTGAGAGTCCAGCACCTTAATCACCATACCACCTGCCAGCCCCATGAAGAAATAAATTTAAAAAAAAATCTTAAAGAATTCTTAATTTAATTTAATTTTTATATTATTTTTATTTTTAGTTTGTTATAGGGCACATGCACCCATGAGAGAGAGAAAGAGAAAGCGTGAGCAAGCTGCCAGGTGTGGGATTTGAACCACAGTCGGCCATGTGGTAGTCCAGCACCTCAACCACCATGCAACCTGCTGGCCCCAGTAAAAAATAAATAATAAATAAATTAAAAACAGGGGCCAGCAGTTGGTGAGTTGCTCAAGGCACTGGCTCCCACATGGCTGACCATGGTTTGAGTCCTGGATTCAGTGGCTTGAAAATCACACTGGGCGTGTGTGCATGCGTGCCCAAAATCCCGAGGGGAGAATGGAGGAGGAGGGATTGCAACATGGCCATATCCCCTGGAGGGAAGATTTCTTACTTCCCTCTTTCTCTCTCTTTCTGGCGAGTTCATGCATCCTATGGCAAAAACCTAATAATAATAATAATAGTTTAATTTAACTTAATTAAAAACAGGGACAACCAGGTGGCATGGAGGTTAAAGCAGCTAGATGCCACACAGCTAAATGTGTGGTTCGGGTCCTGGGCTCAGCAGCTTGAGAAACACACTGGGCATGTGTGTGTATGTATGCGTCCAAAATCATGAGAGTAGAATGGAGGAAAGGGAATTGCAACGTGTGGGGGCGTGATTCCTCACTTTCCCTCTCTCTCTGGTGAGCACACCCTATAGCAAAACTAAAATTAAAAAATAAAAAAATTTCTTCTATGAAGGTGTCATTATCTGCAAGGTTACCTGTTCCTTCTCTCTTTTTCCCTTTCCCACCCCAATTCTGGCAAGTGATCATCATCTTTTTTTTTCAATTATTTTTTAAATATTATTCATTCATTTATTTTAATTTGACCAGAGAGAGACACAAAGAGAGAGAGAGACAGAGGAATTGAGAAAGCAAGCCACCAGGTTTGAGACTTGAACCATGGTCAGCCACATGGGAGTGTCCAGCACCTTAATCACCTGCTGGTCCCATCATCTTCTGACTCAAATGACTGTTCCTTCCAGATTGTGGTGTCTGTAACACTGACACCAGGCCTGAGCTTTCCTCCCATCCTCTCTGCCTAGCATCCTGCTCCTTGTAACAACTCCTGCTCAATCTGTCTTCAGTGCAGCTCCCCTGCCGGGATCCTGGTCGATGCCATGTCCCAGAAACACCTGCAGATCAACCAGACGTTTGAGGAGCTGCGGCTGGTCACGCAGGACACAGAGAATGAGCTGAAGAAGCTGCAGCAGACGCAGGAGTACTTCATCATCCAGTACCAAGAGAGCCTGAGGATCCAAGGTAAGCACAGGGCCGTGTGAGGTGGCATGTCCTGTGGGAGGAAAGAACATTCTGAGAGATAATGCAGGAGGATAGGGGCTGGGTTGGTGTCCATATTACTAGCACCTTCTCCCAGTCTCCCCGTGATTGAGCCCCTGCTGCGGACCTGACTCTGGGTTAAGTAATTTGTGTATATTCTTCCATTCACCCCTCACAACAAGCCTACGGATAGATAGTTGTGTTATCCCTGTTTTGTGAGTGATCAAAACTGACATCCAGGGAACCAGCAGTTAGCATAATGGCTATGTCACTGGACTCCCACGTAGTCGACCGTGGTTTGCGTCCCGGACCCGGTGGCTTAAAACTCATGCCGGGCGCGTGTGTGTGTGCCCAAGATCCCGAGAGAAGAATGGAGAAGAAGGGATTGTGGTGTGACCATCCCCCCTGGGGGGTGATTTCTCGCTTTCTGTCTCTGTATCTCTCTGTCTGTCTGGTGAGCGCACGCGCCCTATAGCAAAAATCTCAAAAAAAAGATCCAAAGACAAAAAATAAAAAAAAAAAAAAAAAAAAAAAAAAAAACTGACATCCAATGGGGGGGAAAACATCACTTGGCCAGATTTGCCTGTAAATTGCAGAACTGGATCTCTACTAGAGGTTATGTCATAAAAGCCTCTGTACTTTACAATCAATAAACTCTCCCTAAACATAGGTGTTCTGTGAATATTTGAACAAATGAATGAATATAAGCCAAGTGTTTCTAACCAGAGAGAGGACTTGGGTTGGGAGTCCCCTGATTGAACTTGCCTGGGGAGCAGTAGAGTTCATTGAGTTTCCCATATTGAACCTCAGGTAGAATGTGGACCTGGGGAGGAGGTGACTGTGAACAATTCTCCTGTCTTCTAGCTCTGTAGTTTGCTGATGGCTATTATGGTAGGGATGTGGGGAAAGCAAAAAAAAAAAAAAAAACTTAGAAGGAATTAACTTCAGATATGGCTAGAGGAATCTTGAGACATGGCCCACTTTTCTCCCACTTTTTCTCACTCCAGACTGACCCATCTTAGTGAGAAAAAGAAGAGTCAAACTGCTTTTTTGTTTGCTGTTTTTATTTTTTTTCCCCATGACTTTTTAAGGTAGAATTTTAGATCATTAACCATATACCCTTTCTCTTTTGTAATAGATGTGCTGAAAGCTATAAATTTTCCTCTAAGCACTGCTTTAGCTGCATTGCATAATTTTAGATATACTGTTTATTCATTATCATCCACTTTGACCTATTTCTAATTCTCTTGTTATTAATTGTTTAACTCATAGATTTTTTAAAAGTATGTTGTTTCATTTCCAGTGATCTGGTTTTCTTTTGATATCATTTTGATTTCAATATTGTCTTCTTTTTGAAAATTATGGTTTCCAGCGAACATACTCCACATGATCTCAGTTATTGTAAATTTATTGAGACTTATTTTATGGCCCAGCATGTCCTCCATCTTGGTAAATGCATCTATGCATTTAGACTCTATGGTTGATTCTATGGTAACTTTTAGGTATCCAAAAATAACAAAAATATATTCTATAATGGTAACATAAAGGTTAAAATTTTACAAAACATGGGACCGGCAGGTGGCATGGTGGCCAAGGGCGCTAGACTCTCACATGGCTGACAGCAGGTCAAGTCCCAGACCTGGTGGCTTGCTTTCCCTTTCTCTCGCTCTCTCTGTCCCTCTGTGATAAAATTAAAATAAATAAATAAAGTTAAATAAAATCATTCTTTAAAATTTTTTTTTTTTACAAAATACAATATCTGTATTTTCCAAAACAGAATTTAGTGAGTAGAGTGGCATTGCTTTGCAAATTTTTTGCAAAAACAGATTCGTAAATTTCTATTTTTTTCTTTTAAATTTAGAATTATTGGGGCCAGCAGATGGCGTAATGGTTATGTCTCTGGACTCCCACATAGTCTACCACAGTTTGAGTTCTGGACCCAGCAGCTTAAAACTCACACCATGCACGTGTGTGTGCACGCACACACCCAAAACCCCAAGAGGAGAATAGAGGGGAAGGGATTGTGGCATGGCTATCCTCCACAGGGGGTGATTTCTCACTGTCTCTCTGGCAAGCGCATGCATCCTATAGCAAAAATCTCTCTTAAAAAATTAGAATTCTTTATTTAATTTTATGTATTATTATTATTTTAAAAGTTGTTACAAGCCATGTGCATATGTGAATGAGACAGAGAGAAAAAGTGAGAAAGCCAGTGCCAGGCCTGGGACTTAAATTATGCCTTAACCACCATGCCACTGGCTGCCCTGACCTTTATATTTGAAGCTTTGTTATTCGGTGTATGCACATTTATGACAACTATGGTTTTCGATCAAGTAAAACCATAATCTTTATGAGATATCTTTTTTCTTTCTTTTTTAAATAGATTTTTTACTATAGGGTACATGTGCTTGCCAGAGAAACAGAGAGACAGAAAGCGAGAAATCACCCCCCATGCATGCACTTGCACCACACCTGAGTTTCAAGTCACCGGGACCAGGACTCGAACCGTGGCAGACTATTTGGGAGTATGGCGACGTAACCATTATGCCATCTGCTGGTCCCTGAGATATCTTTCTTAATAATATCTGCCTGCATTCACCTGGTAAACAGCAGAGCACATTTATAACCCAGGGTCTGACTTCTGCTGGATTGGTATGAAGAAGGCTAGGCAGCCAGCTGTGGGGTAGGCCCTGGGATAATAATCTTCGTGTTTATTTTTAAGAGAGTTTTTTTGCTATAGGGTATGTGCGGTTGCTGGAGAGACAGAGAAAGCTAGAGAAAGTGAAAACTCACCCCCAGTGGGTGATGCCACATCACAATCCCTTCTCCTCCATTCTCCTCTTGGCCACGTGCATACACGTTCTGGTATGAGTTTCAAGTCACCAGGTCCAGGACTCAAACTGTGGTCAGCCATGTGGGAGTCCAGCAATGTAACCAGTACATCATCTGCTGGTCCCAGTAATCTTTGTTTTGAAGTTTGCTTTATCAAATATTAATATAAACACTCCATCCTTCTTTTTCTTTTTTAAGAATTTTTAATAATAATTTTATTATTTTAAAAATAATCATTTATTTATTTAATTTTATTTGTTGTTATTATTTTTTACTTTGATCTGAGAGAGACAGAGATAGCGAGAAAGGGAAAGTGAGAAAGCAAGCCACCATGTCTGAAACTCAAACTGTGGTTGGCCATATGGGAGTCCAGCACTTTAACCACCATGCCACCTACTGACCCCAACACTCTAGTCTTATTCTACATTTTGCATAACTTACCTTTATCCATATTGTTTAAAAATAATTGAAAACAGACAGAATATAGTTGAGTCTTGTTTTGTATGTACTCTGACAATCTCTGCTTTTATATGAGCTATTTAGTCCATCAACACTTAATATAATTATTAATATATTTGTACTGAGGTCTACCATTTTAGTATTTATTTCCTGTTGTGTTCCTTTTTAGTTTTTGTTTCCCTTTTCCTATGGTTTGTATTTCTTAGATTTTTTTTTTAAGTTCCATCTCATTTAACTATTTAAATTCTCTTTATAACCCTCATCTCAGTACTTTCTGTACCCTTAGGCCAGCACATTCCTGAAAAGTAGACAAAGAGTACAAGTTGACAGGATGATGCTAGCATGCCTTCTTCCCATCTGAACTCATCCCAGACAGTCTCCAGAAAAAGGGGTCTATTCTTAAAAGAGTGGCAATAGATGTTGCAAGGATATTACTTTCTACCCAGGACCTTTGACTGACTGACAGTATTTATGATACCGTATTTGGGATTTCTGGTTCCCGTGTGTGGGTTTTAGTTTGGATTCTGGGTAAGGTTAATATGTGATATTTGCATAGTTGCACGTGCCTGGCTCCCCCTTTAGAGACATAGCGGGTCAACCTATTTGTGCCAGCAACTTTGCCATGTATCTCCCTGGCCTCCTTCCCAGAAACATCCATAAATTGCCAGAGGAGACCCTATGTGGGTCAGTCCCACGCAGAGGCTGAACCCAGGTGTGGGGATCCCACCACCTCCCTGCAGGGCACAGATTCCCAGGTGGTGGACCAGACTGCTCTGATGTGCCCGGACAGTCCTACTTTTGCTCGGGCCCTGTGCTGAGCTTGGAGCTGCATTCCTGAGTTCTTACTCTGGGCTTTTCCTGGCTGTGCAGGGTTGCTTTGGTCTGTGCCAGCTTGTGTGTTCTCGGGTAGGGAGCAGGTCAGTGTGACATGGCCCTCAGAGACCAGCAGGGACTTGACGGAGACACACTGATGCACACACCTTCTGGACTCAGCCCCGGGAAGGACCCTGGGCTGTGCACACAGGTTACTGGAAGGGCGAACTGACCTCTGCATGCAGGAAAGCGGTCACCCTCGGAGGGAGAGAGAGGGGTGGGCACACAGGGGAGGGAGGGGGTGCAGGTGCTGCTCACTAAGGATGGTTGAGTTCTTAGGTGGGTTGTGGGTATGTGGGTGTTCCTTAAATCGCTCTTCCTACTTGCCTGTGCCTTAAGTGTTTCATAACAGGTATCTTAAAAAAGGTCCGGAGGCCTCGCTCCCATCTCTCCTGCCATTAGTGAGAGTCCCAGCAGCCAGAGCAGAGAGACACTGCCTCTCCAGCCTCCCTGGGGTCTGGGTGGGTTTGTGTCCCCAGAGGGCTCCTCCACCCCATCCTGGCTGCTGAGCTCAGGGAGACTAACCTGGGCAAGAGTGTTAGGCATTTCCAGCCGCTGGAGAAACTCAGTCTTCCCAGAGGAGAGACAGCCTGTGCTCCAGGGGTGACAGCCCTGGGCCAGCCTCTGGCTGAAGCTGTGAGAAGGATGAGGCTGGGCAGGTATCTCTGTCCTGTCACTCGTTCACCAGATAGAACTGACCTCACACCACACTCAGACCTGCCAGGCAGTTTCTTGAGCCCCTTCCTCATTGTCACTTAGGTCATCCTCACAGCAGTGCATGAGTAGGTTCCATGATTCTCCTGTTTCACTCCTGGGGAAACCAAGGCATGGGACAGAATCGGGATTTTTCAGCATTCAGCTCATAAACTGCAGAGCACACTTGTAACTCAGGGTCTGGCTCCCACTCAACCAGTGTGAAGAGGGGTACAAGGCCGGCTGTGAGATAGAGACTGGGGGGACACAGAGCATGACCCCTCTTCAGCTGCACCCCAAGTATGTGTGGGCGGGCCTGAGGCTGCTTTGAGGAGACCATTGTCCATTGGGCTCCTAGGCTGCCAGGAAGCTTTGTGGCCTTGATGGCTGTCTGACCCCCGAGGGTCTTGCTCAGAGCAGCCCCTGGAATGAGTGTGGGGGACCCTGGGAGATGATGGTCACAGTTGTCTTGTCCCCTGTTGCAGCCCAGTTTGCTCAGCTGGCCCAGCTGAACCCCCAGGAGCGGCTGAGCCGGGAGACGGCCCTGCAGCAGAAGCAGGTGGCCCTGGAGGCCTGGCTGCAGCGCGAGGCACAGACGCTGCAGCAGTACCGCGTGGTGAGTGCCACCCCGCCGACTCCTCCCGGCCCAAGTCCCAGCCCCA